AGTCTAATATCAGCAGGAAGTATCCCTTTCCATGACGGAACCAAAGCTGTTCATTACTTTGCCGATGAAGCCGATTGGGAGTGTTATCCTAGAGAATTTCATGAGCTAACTTACAGTGGAATTTCGAGAGCCAACTTACAGCATAATTTCTAATCGTGTGGCTCATCTCCACTATCACCAGGTAGAAGCAAGCAACACCTTTGTTTGAGACCTCAATGTTCAGAATAACAACAAACATTGCGAGCACAGCTCAGAGCGCGCACTGCAACCATACAAAACACACAGACAGTAAACTTAATCGATAAACACGAACAAACACTGCGAAGTCCACATACTCAACTTCACCACACACAGGTCTTGAAGCATACTATATAATACAGCACAGCAAAATGAAGAGGACATGCCTTGAAAATGAGAATGGGAAGGCCTTGAGCATTAAAGGGTAAGGCATAAAGGAGTGAAGGGAAAGTCCTGGATGAGTAAAGAGAAAGGCCTGAAGGAGCGAAGGGTAAGCCTGGAGGAGTGAAGGGTAAGGCCTGCAGAACTGAAGGGAAGACCGGTAGGAGTGAAGGGGAAGGCCTGGAGGAGTGAAGGGTTATGCCTGGAGGCGTGAAGGGTAAGGCCTGCAGGACTGAAGGGAAGGCCTGTAAGAGTGAAGAGAAGGCCTGCATGTAGGAGTGAAGGGGAAGGCCTGTAGGAGTGAAGGGGAAGGCCCGTAGGAGTGAAGAGTAAGGCCTGTAGGAGTGAAGAGAAGGCCTGAAGGAACGAATGCGAAGACCTGGAGTAGTGAAAAAGACTATATGGTCCGAAGGGTTAAAAGGGATAGGGATCGGAGGAGTGATAATGACACCCTGTGGAGAAGTGAAGTGGACAGGGTTCGTCGGAACGAAAGTGATGCGGCTTAGAGTGAAAGACACAGGGCCTAGTGTGAAGAGGACAAGGCCAAGCCAGCTTCATGTCCCAGCCAGGGATCGTACGCATGACATGGCAGTTGCAGCAACTGATCAGTTGCTTCCATGGTTATCTAGTTAATCCTGCATCAATGGTTAATTAACTTGTCATCGTTCACTACGGCGCAAGAACTAACCGTCCCACTTCTTATTCGTAAATAAATTCGGAATAAATCCTACAGCAGATAAAAGTGGATCGAGGAAAAAAAGGATGACTCGATCAAACAAGAAGAGTCGAAAAGTTTTGACTAGGAACGTAATGGCAACAGCCAAATATTCATTAAATGAATAAGTAAATAAAGAAATAAGTAGAATATAAGACTGAAGCAACTACCGTATAATACATTTGTGGACGTTTTTTGGCGAGTTTGTGTAAAGCCTGGCCCCTTGAGTATATAGAGAAGTGGTATTTACGTTCGTATCCGCAATAATTATCGTGCCGAGGTACAACAATATCTAAAATTTTAAATTTTATTGTGGAATTATGAGGCATAACAGACAAGAGAAGAAAAGTGAGATTCTAATTTTTTTTAATTTTATGTATTTTTACTTTTCTCATACATACATTCTAATTGTTTCGCTTTCAAGTAAAATTAAAATTCTACGCTGAATCAGGGCTCTGAAGGATCTCTCTATTATAGACAGCACATTACTTTGAAAATTAACAATGGGATTAGAGATTATGGGATTAAGGATGACTGGATTCAGAATGAGGTCTTAATATCTGAGAAGTTTAGGGCAGGGTGGCCCAGTGGTTAAAGTTCAGAGTACCAAGATTGGAGCAGAGAGGTGCGGGTTCGATCCCAGCTCTGTGCGCCAGTTTCTGGTCAGAATCGGCAAGGAGGCCGGGCGGTTAAGCACAGCAGAATTGTAGCAGTGATTTGTGAGTTCGAGACCGCAAAATGCTGTGAATGTTCTGCGATGTTAAGAATTGGCGACAGGCCTACGGCCTATTAAACGCTGAAACCGCTATATTATTATTATTAAGTTTATTTCCTTCTGATAAATAATCGTCAGCCATTAGCGGGATTGTGCTGGTTCCTAACTTCCTATACATGCCACCACCAGGCATAGCAAACGGCCATTCAAAATTGTTATATTAAAATTAATGCCGAGTTTCTTGGCATTAAATGCAGCTACTAATGTAATATTAGTGGCTGCAGCTTCCAAAATGGGGTTAGAATGGATCATATTCAACTTTCCTTGATTATAGGCGATCAAGTTAAAAAAGTATTATGATGGCAGAAAAGTGAGAGAATAAGAATGGATTAGCGGATAAGGATGAAAGGATTAAAGGAAAGGGAGGAAAGCGAGGTAAGGATTGAAGGAAAGGAGGTAATGATGGAAGGAAAGGGAAGAAGCAAGGGATTGGAGATAAGGAAGCCCGAACAAAGCCGGTCGAATTAACTAATTACAAATAAAATCAGGACATAACAGAGATTTTAATTCGCGATTCGATGAACATAAACCCACGAAATCAGTGTTGTGGTAAAGACTCAAAATTAGAAACCTATCTTCTGAATACTAACGCCCTCGATCACCTTTATATTGTATGTCATATTAAATGAAATCTAGATGGATGAAAGCCCAGTAATGATTTACTTATACAGAGCAGCGCTCCATTCGTCTTCTCAATTCATCTGTAAAAAGTTAGAAACTAATACAGTGAGCATGAAACTACAATAGGAAGATATACGATATGATATACACTATAACAGATCTAATGTAGAAGGAAATGCAATAGGTATAAAAAAAACTAGAAATTAATACAGTGAGCATGAAAGCTACAATAGGAAGATATACGATATGATATACACTATAACACATCTAATATAGAAGGAAATGCAATAGGCATAAAAAATTAGAAACTAATACATTGAGCATGAAAACTCCAATAGAAAAATATAATACAATATAACATATCTACTAATTATAGAAGGAAATGCAATAGGTATAAAAAACTAGAAACTAATACATTGAGCATGAAAGCTACAATATAAAAATATATAATAAATTATAACAGATCTAATAAAATGAAATGCAATAGGCGCACACAACGTCTATTTCTCTTAGAGTCGCTGAGGCATAGCAATAGAGAGAGCGACTTGTGATAGTAAGAAAGTCTACAAATGAACACTTTGGTAGTTCAAGGCGTGTACGTGAGACGACAATTACTAGACACGCGAGACATTCTTGCGATGCTCTGCAACTAACGTGCATTATCGTACGTGTGAGAACGTCGCTGGATTACGTCGTGATGTTGCGTCAGCGGCGTGTGATAGACAGCGTTGCTTGTGCGTTGAAATGCGTCAAATTCCGTACCGTCAGGATGCGTATATATACCAGCGTATCGATCAGCTTGCAGTTATCATTAAGTCTTCCCGTGCAATTAAGGTTTTTGTTTTTTACAGGTGTACAATCTTCGGAAATTTTCAAGCAAGCGTAGATTCTTACTCAAAATATCATGCTGCTGCATAATAGCAATAAAAAAATAAAAAATAAATTTGCATTTTATATTGAACTACGTTCTTGTGGAATTAGGCTGCTGTAAATGTGTCAGCGAGTTGAATTCAGGACACCATCTGCATTGAGCGCCGCTCTTCGTTCCCGTTGCACTGTTACGCAAACACGTTCGTGATCACACGCGTTCGTAAGCATACACGTTCGTAAGCATACACGTTCGTAAGCACCCGCGTTCGTAAGCACCCGCGTTCGTAAGCACACGCGTTCGTAAGCACACACGTTCGTAAGCCACGCGTTCGTAAGCCACGCGTTCGTAAGCACACTGAGAGTGAGTCAAGTGAGCTGAGAGTGAGTCAAGTGAGCTGAGAGTGAGTCAAGTGAGCTGAGAGTGAGTCAAGTGAGCTGAGAGTGAGTCAAATGAGCTGAGAGAAAACGCAGCTATTTTCATTAACGCAACAACGATATTTTGTTATAAGGTGCTTCGCAATAATATTAGATAAGATGCAGACCATCAGTATTATTTTAAAAACCTCCAAATATAATCCACACGTGCCTTTAACACTATGAATTATATATATGACTTTAAAAGCAATATGCTATTGACCAATCAGAGACACCCGTATTAATCTTCATTTGCGAATCAGTAAAAGGTGACCTATAATACAAAATAAAGAAATGCCGCCTTGATAATTTATTATAGATACACCATGGACACACATAATGATTACCAGTAACACAGAAATAAGTAATGCATGATGGTATCGTACACGATATACATTATGCAACAAACACATGATTTCTAATAGATCTTATGATAGACGAGCTAGATGGAAAGAGATCATTATACACCATAGACACGTAGTATTTAGAAGATACACAGCTTACACAAGACACACAGATGACAGAACACACATACGAAACACAAAACACAGTTCACAGAGAACACAATGAAGTCAAGGTATCTCTATAAACAGAAGGTCTGCCCAGTTATTATGATAAGACGCACGTCACTCACCCATTGGCATGCCACATTCACCTTTGGGCATGCCCCACTCACCCATTGGCATGCCACATTCACCTTTGGGCATGCCACACTCACCCTTGGGCATGCCACACTCACCCTTGGGCATGCCAAACTCACCCTTGGGCACGCCACACTCACCCTTGGGCACGCCACACTCACCCTTGCTCATGCCACACTCACCCTTGGGCACGCCATACTCACCCTTGCTCATGCCACACTCACCCTTGGGCATGCCACACTCACCCTTGGGCATCACACTCATCATGCCCTACTCACCCTTGGGCATGCCACACTCACCATGCCACACTCACCCTTGGGCATGCCACACCCACCATGCCACACTCAACATGCCACACTCACCCTTGGGCATGACCTTATGACCTTATGATGAGTTTAGGACGTCGTAGTCCAAGGTCACGCTGATGCGCCGCCTTCGTCGTCCTCCGTCTCCGAGTCGTCGTCGGATGTAACGTTGGACGTGTTCCGTCTATTACATGCCCCACTCACCCTTGGGCATGCCACACTCACCATGCCACACTCACCCTTGTGCATGCCCCACTCACCCTTGGGCATGCCACAGGGGCCCTGCGTGCGGCTGTTATCCAGGAAGTCGAGGTCGTAGTCCCTGGCAGGAGGGAAGGTGAGGGCGACGTGGGCCGTGCACACCCCCAGGGTCGCCGCCATCAGCAGCACCCACGACCCCCCAGCACCCCTGGGGGCCAGCCCAGCCATATGGCAGCTTCTGAGGGAGGGGAGAGAAAATATTCTTTAAAAGGGTAGACCATAAAAAATATAACTCAGTACTCCCTGCAGTGAGTGACAGAGAGCGCATTTTCTCGTCGACGAAAACGTGAAGTCACGGACGGACAGACAGACAGATATGGCGAGCACAATAGCGCCTTTTTTCCATGAATGAGAAAATGCGCTAAAAAGGATATTTGAAGACTTACAGTGGGGGGAAATAAATATTCGTACACTTGAAAAATCGTATTTCAATGTATGTAAGTACACAAACTGAACAGGAGAAGTGATTTATATTATGTATAGAGATTGCATTGTTTTTTGTTGCATTGAGATTTAATTTCTTTTGATAGTATTTTTGAATACTTTGCGTCTCTATACATAATTTAAATCACTTTTCCTGTTAAGTTTGTGTACTTACATACATTAAAATACGATTTTTCAAGTGTACGAATATTTATTTCCCCCCACTGTAAATCATACTTCAATTACGCGGCACTTTCGACCACCCATATCTAGGAATGCGAAGGAAAAAGGAGAAGGCCATAGGACCCTCTAGAAACATTTTTAGAAGAGTAGTTAGAGAGGAAAGAGAGATTCGTAGAGCATACAATTTTTAGCTCCAAAATATTTTATAACCTCCGTTTGCAATGCGAATTTAATATTTAGTCCCAAATTTGATTCAAATTTTTGTTCAATTTTAGTAAAATAATTTGTATTCAACATATTTTTCATTTAATTTGAGTTTGATCGTTCTTTCTTTATTTAGTTCAATTCCATTCCAATAACTCATTAAAAACCATCTTACATATGGGGAAACTTTTGAAAATTTATCCGTAAACTGCGAAAAATGTTGGCGAACAATACCAATGCTTTCTTGTGGTAGGAAATACTTTTTGCATTTTTTCAATCAGCTCTTCCAAGGCAAGCTGAAATTGAGATTTTTCTTGCCTTTGGAATCGTGAAGATATAATAACATCCGCTCTATATCTGCATTGCCGGACAGCTAAACTTCTATCGTAAGTAATCATTCGCGCACAATGGCGTTATTTTTATTCTTCATCTCGGTTAATATTCATGCTTCGGCAATAATTATTTATTAGACATTTCGAGATAGATTGAATCTTTAAAAGAAACATCCACACCGCAACAAAACTGAATGACTTCGCGAAGCCATTCGGTACAAAGGCTAGATAGATAAAACATCGCTAACCAACTCTCAGGAAATTCTTGGCTGAAAACTGAAACAAAAACTCGATTTTTTTTCAATATAAATAGTGACATTGACCTTCTCAGTCGAACAATGCGTTCGTTAAAATTTCGAGGAAACTATGAGAAGTTTCCTGCACTTTCATATTCCGGGGCGACTGCGAGTTTGGCTGCTTGGGCCAAGTGAAAAAGCCTTGGGGTTTTGTCATAATTCTTACAAGATTTACAATTCTATGTTGGCACATGTATGAATATGTTCAAATTGCAAAAAAATTAAAATCCTTCTCCAATATATACGGCAATGCATATCGCTAAGCCATAAGAGAATAACCTTCTTAAATTCCAAAACTCTAACGTACTTTCAATACCAAGCACATTCCGATGAACTTACAATATATCGAACTCAATCCCCCTCCAAAAGTGATAGACAATGCGGGCAAGCAATGCAAGGTTAAGAATCGCAATCAGTTGACGTGAGTATGAAGTCAACCTTGAGACCGGAAACCGGTCAGATCGAGAACCCAGTGGATGATGTCCATATCCAGTTACGATGATATTACGGCGATCTCCGTAGCGTTAAACGTGACTATCATCCAATGAAATAGGAGCTCGCCACGCAACATTGATCAGAGACATATAGCAATCTATGGACCGCTCTAGAAAACGGATATACTTACCAGCACTGTAAGTCGGTCCGTGTGACGTGCCGAGACGTTGAACTCATGCGTCTCGGAATCATTTTCATTATTGACGGCCTTTCAAGCAAAATCCACCAATCATAGACAAGAAAATAAAGCGCAAGTACTTACGTTGATTTAGCGAGTTTTGAAAGTATGGCCTTCTTGTCTATGATTGGTGGATTTTGCTTGAAAGGCCGTCAATGATTGGTTGATGAACTTACGATCTCTTAACTTTTTTTGGAAGTATGAGCCCGGGACAACGAGACAAGCAGTGAAATGTCCGGAGAAAAAAATGCGATATCTACCCACTTTATTTCTCGAAATAACGTTATAAATAGGGAAAACGGTTGCACCCAGAACTTTATAAATTGTGTCGTGGATATCATTTATCTTTACATGAAAGACAAAAGACGAGTCGTTACCTAACAATACAGTATATATAATGCCTCGCTGTATTGGGCTGAATATTCGCGTATCTTCGCCGTTTGATGAATTATTCGCGTATCTTCGCCGTTTGATGAATTTTTCGCGTATCTTCGCCGTTTCGCTAATTTTTTAGAGAGCCGATCGATTTAAACAACCCGCGGAACTCCAACAGCAGTGAGCATGTGAGAATAGTTTGAAGACATTTAGAACAATGGAAAATTACCAAACAATCACGATACAAATACTTATATAAGTACCACTATCAGACGGCTAATTCCCAGTCGTGGATTTCAGCTATCGTGGCCGGGGTCTGGACTGAAATACCAGCGATAGGTGAGGAATTTCTTTACCAGACAATCTATTGTGGTACGAGACAGATAAAAACATTCCAGAGCGATAAGAGACAAAACAAGGCATTCAAAACGTGCGGATTAAGCATAAAAAATTAAATAATCGATTTTCAATGAGCGACGATGGGGTCAAATGGAAAGATATAGCGACATTTGGCTGCTTAGGTCACACATCATTGCAGTTACATCCATGGTCAGCGTAGGCGATGTATGGCTGCCAGAATAATTTTGCAGCTTTAAGCCTTTCCTTCATAATGTACATTTATATATATTATTATAATATATGATGTACTTCAAACTATCGCGTCTAATTCATACCTATACGAGTTCCAATGTGCTTGTAAACGGGGTCAGTTGTGGCAGTCATGTACTGACGGAAACTAAAGCCGCCCTTACTTGTAATGACCAGTGAGCTTAAGAGACGTTGCCATTGCCAGTGTTTGCAGAGTGTGATCACCAAATTGCTTTTAGAGGCCGAGTACAGACATGGTTAGATAATTAATTTATATGATAATTTCAGTCTCTGTCATTAACATTTCGCATACGAGCCTGCCGCATCTAACGATTCATGCATAAGTATCGTCTATCAATCATAAATGAACTACAACGCTACTAACAAACTGTTGTCACCGGTTGATTGCAATTTATTTGATGTTAATAGAAGATTGGAACTCATTTTGTCACAATATTTTTTAGAAGATAGAACACATCGATTACTAGGTACAGGACTTATTATTTACGTACAGAGCTTCTCGTCTCGTCGACAAAAAAGGACGAAATGCATATGCTCTTAACAGAATTCACAGAGTAATAAAGAAATACTTGACTAACTATAAAAATTAAAGTAGAGCTCGATCAAATTTGAATTGGGGATAGTGCTGCCAGATCGAACGCGTACAAATTGACTTAGTAGACGTGGAAGCTGTGACTAGTTGAAATTGGAATGCTGTCAGAAGTAGCATTAATATCAGTACTGGTATCTGTACTGACAGCAGCAGCAATGGCAGCAGCAGCACTGGCAGCAGCAGCAGTGACAGCAGCAGCAGCATCGCCGGCAGCATAATTAAGGACCGCGGACGGAGTTCTGGAAGGTGCGGAATGCATATATTAGACCACTTCGTGCACCATCACCCCCATCACATCACAACCAACATTTTACATCCCTCCAACGAACACATCCTCTCCCCTCTTGTACACATCGCCTCAACCTCAAAACCAACGATGTGTTCAGCTCACATCACGTGCGCTGCGGCAATCAAGGCATACGCTGCAATAATAACACATTTCCTACCTTCGACAGCCACTTAGTACGCAACTTCGATGCTTTGGTAATGCATTTATTATCTTCGACTTTCACTCTCTACGCACTTTAATTCTTCATATGTTGACTTCCAAGTCCATGAAGTAAGCGTTCTGCAATGATATACGCTCGGGCTACAACAAGACTTGCTGCTATTGCTGCAAAGATCTCATATACAATTTAGATCAGATATCTTTATGTTAGATACAAGATATTTTAAATTAGAATTTAATTGGTAATAGCCTTGGTACACCCCCTTGGCGACGACGCTGTGTTTAATTGGCTCTTATACTCTCCTAGAGAGCGCTGCAATAGAAACAAATATAAATTATTGTAGCAATATGTGGGTAAAATTCAAGCAAAACATACAGAGAGGTTTTCATGTATGGTGTCGTGGTTGCAAACAAACAACCTAGGATGGCAGGTACAGTTTCTTTCATTCCTGGTACACAAGGGTGGCCTGTATAGTCTGTATTGTATTGGTGTACACAGAGGCCATCAAATTTTGTGTCCTATGTACAGACAGATTATTTATTGTTGTACAACTCAACAGAAAGGCCATAGGTACTGAAAAGAGAAACGATGTATGATTGACTTCTCAATATCGACATCGAAAATTATTCTCGTGCGCACAGATGTCATTAAGTATTGTGAAGAAATGCAGATAAATCATCGAGTATTCAATATACAGTGCATCATCTGGCATCAGTTATACCTGTCTCTTATACACATCTAGATGTGTATAAGAGACAGGATTCGCCAGTCTCTGACTGCGGACTGATTCGCTAGTCTCTGACTGCCGACTGATTCGCTAGTCTCTGACTGCCGACTGATTCGCCAGTCACTGACTGCCGACTGATTCGCCAGTCTCTGACTGCCGATTGATTCGCTAGTCTCTGACTGCCGACTGATTCGCTAGTCTCTGACTGCGGACTGATTCGCTAGTCTCTGACTGCTGACTGATTCGCTAGTCTCTGACTGCCGACTGATTCGCCAGTCTTTGACTGTCGATTGATTCGCCAATCTCTGACTGCAG